TTTTGATCAAATAAATGCAGCCTTGATGAGCATAAGAGACTTCTTTAAAAAACATTACAAGTCTTACTGATCCCAAACTTTTGAACGGTAGTGTAAATATATGTATGTATGGTTAAAATAATTTTAGATATCAGGCTTCATATCGAAAAGCATGCATTCAAAAAGCAATGTCAATTTCTATTTTAAATATATTTGACTTATATAGCCTACATTAATCAGCGGATGAGTCGAGAACAGTATTTAACCAAACTTTAACGAAATGGTTCATTAAAAAAAAAAAAGATTTAAATGCATTAAGAAAATGCAATAAAAATTTTTTTAATGTGTAACACTAATACATTTTAAATAGTTTTACATTTAAATGTTCATCTTCTAACAGAAAAGTATGCCAACACAGACAAACAAGGTGTTGACATTGTGTTACAATTGCCCCCTGCCATGATAAAACATCATATGCTAGCTAGCCACGCCTATATTAGCATAGGTTGTTCATGTTAATTGTTTTAATCAATTATCTAGAGATAAAATGTATGTAAGTTTAAATTTGCAGTCATCTAAACTTAAGACAGCAGAAAACAAAATACTGTACATCTAAAAAATAACGTCCATACCTCAAAATCAGTATTTTGGTAAAAACTTCTGCTGAAGTGAAAAGATTGTGCTCCTTTTCCACAGGCAGAGAGAATCCTACTGAGCATGAGCAGATAAAGTGTCATGCCCATGTCTCTCATGGCACACACCATTCCTGTGTCCCAATGTGCATACTATCCATCCTAAATTCTATGTGATTTTAGTAATTTTCAATACTATTTAGGGCAGATATGGTGGATATCTGTTTTGTGGCTTATTAATGTGTCCTGACAGATTGCTGTAAAGCCTCAGTTCAAGTAGAGCCTGAACCATTACAGCGTGAAATAAACATGAATGAACATCAGAAGGGACCTTGTTTCAACCGCGGAAAGACGTCATTGCGTTTTTCAAGTTCAAATCCACCGACGTTTATCTAGTCCTGTCTGATTTGTTTGTTGGACAAAAACGGTAGATTTGGCTTTATGATTGGTCAGATCGCCTGTCAATCAAACTCCTTGCAAAGGAAGGTCATGCTCACTCATAAGGTTAATTATTTGTTTGTTTCCTTATATATTTATTTTTGTGAAATTATCTTTTGTGCTATCATCTATGCAAAGTTGGTGCAATAAAGTAACATCATAGTTAACAAGTACTTGTTTACATAGGATATATAAATGTGATGTATTTTATATTATTTAGGCACTTATAAGCTATAGTTTGACAATGTTCTAATTCAACATGCCAATTTAACTTAACATTTTCTTATATTGATATTGTTTATTTCTTACTCCTTAACAGTTCATCAGCCTCTTAATGATTTAATCTATGCCATCTTTTGGAATATCTGAAGGCCATGTAGTTCTTAACTGTAGCATTTTTTAATGAACCAATAGCATTTATGAAGAAACAACCACCTGCACATTTAGAACCAATAGAACATGCCACAGTAATATAAATCTACAGGGGAAAATATATTCCCTTAACAGATTATCTAATATGAATTCTACAACAAGTTAGACTAAAATTTACACAATAAATAAGCCTACAATAAAACTTGATAAATTCTAGTAGGCTAAAAGTGGTCATGAGTAGTTTAAACATTTTTTAATATAGCCTAGCCTATATTAGTGCTGCTGGTTCAAGACTGTTTTCTCCTCTTTTCATCAGTCTTTTAGGTTTTTTTTTTACCTTTTTACAGTTCGACTTTCCCCCTAGCATTTTAAAGTGGCTGTTTCTCTAAATAATTCAAATAGATCACATATTTGACCATCAGCTTTGTGATAGGAATGGCTCGCATGATACTGCTTATATAAAACAGTTCAATAGACAGTTCAACTGATATTGAGCAATTTACATTAGACATAGCCTAATATCTCGTTACAAATTTGTGCTTCGCCTTCAAAATGAAGCCATTGCAGTATTAACAGTCACGAGTCACCGTAGCGGTGTTCTTGATTTAAGTCTATTTTACAGCAAGGACAATACATTTATAGTTTTAATTATATTTTGAATTAACAGCAAACAATTAATTAAATTAACAGGAAAGTCCAGGCAGCTATAACGATTAAAGACACAGATGAACGACGTCGTTAAAATCACTTTTATAGTAGCCTATAGTGTATAAAAATCACTATACGAGTGTATACTTTTTAGTGTATGTTTTTGTTGTTTTGTCAACCAAAATCCAAGTCTGATAACCTTCCGGTAATTAAGGAAAACATAAGTGGCCAAAATTCCACAATTATTTATTGATTTATTTTCAGTTAAGGCCTAGGACATTATCAGGATACCTCAAGTGCACTTCATCTTTATAGAGTTTTCAGTGAGCACAATAGCATAAAATACAGCATAAGTATGCAAATTGGGATGCATCTTTGATTGATTCCTGAATAAATGAGTGCTATTCAGTTAACTGAATATTTCCATGACTCGCTCATAAAGACAGTCACTTTTGCCAGGTGTAACGATGTTGCCTGTAGAAGCAGTCTCTGAAAATCTGTCTTGAACAAAGGGTATGATACAAACACTGAAGAAATTAAAGGACTGAAAATAACTTGTATAAAAGTGTCTAAACTATATATTCAATTCAGAACAAGTAGTGTAATCAGGATTAAGAAGGTCTGATGTAGATCAAACTGAAGTGCAGAGGCCTTTTTTGGGGGGGAAAGGGTTCATGAAGGGGTCTACAACCCTGACACATATGTAAACACATAAATGACACACATTAGGTGCATACGAAAGCGGATGGCTAGCACATGTGGGTAAGTTTTATTTCACTTTGCAAGGAGCAGTGGAAGTGCAGCAGATGTGTTCAGAAGCATGACTGTGTAAACATCTGAATGTTGAATTTCTTTATCGTTAAATCTATCCATACTTTTCCAAAGTAGAAATCAACCATCAAGTGCATGAAAAATGCTTAAATACATGGAAACAATACTGAATAGCTGAAGCTATTTTCTGTCCAAAATTATGAGGTACAGTGTTAAGTTTACGAATCAGAACCTGTGTCTGTAGCACTCAGTCTTCAGAATAGTTACCTGCTCTAAATTATACATTTAAAGTTTATTTAGTAGTAAACAATCATATATACATAAGGTCTTCCAGAGGTCAGAGTGTAAATATACGCAATATACGCTTGTTACTTTTAAGGGAATGCAGTACACATTGTGAGATTTCAATTTGGAGTTAAACATCAATATTAGCTGGTCAAATTAGTGCATATAGGAAAAAAATCCAAACATCAACTATTCTCTCAAATGACTCGGATGAAACGTATGCCATAAGCTGCTCATTTTCTTCACCATAATTGTGACAAAAGAGGAGGTATTACTGATGGGAAATTGAGCTGTTTTTTGATGAAGGAAACGTATAGCTTAATTTCTGAATAGCTCTATGCAAACAAAGAAGACAGACAAGTTAGCATTCTGTAGTATTTCTTATATTTGTATAGATTTATATATTACACATTTATTACTGACACAGAGCATCATAAAGCAGAGAAACATGGCAGAAATATTTCAAAAAAATTTACATTAGCTGGTAAAAAAAAAACAAAACAAAAAAAAAACAATCACACAAATGTTTTACCATGCCATTGAATGTGGACATAAAAAGAAAGAAAGAAAGAAAGAAAGAAAGAAAGAAAGAAACTAACTTTTTAAATGCTCCAAAATGACTTTGAATATTGACGTGGCTGTAGAGGCAGCAAGAACCAGCTTGCTAACTACACAATTAGTTCATATTCACTTAAAGAAGACAATATTATATTGTATCCAGATGCTACATTGACCAGGATGTTCACCAGTTGATTTCTGCCTCTGTATTGACACCAACACCACATTTTATACTGAATACAAGTAAATTAAAATCACAAATATATATATATATATAAAACAGGTACATAAAGACAGTGATGATTCTGAAGATAAAATCTTTATGTTGTTACTTCACAAAACTGTTAGGCTGCTATCAAAGAGACAAAAAAAGTTCCTGGTGATTCCAAGACATAATTTTAAAGAACTTTGTTGTTTTCAGATTCATCCTTCATTGGTGGCGTTTAGTGTTTATTAGTGTTTTTCATTTTAAGTTACAAATGGTGTTGCTATCGCTGAGATTGGGGTAGCCCTTGGAGACGTGGTCCTCTGAAGAGGACAAGGCAAATAGCCCTTGTATGGGGGACAGACCCCATTAAAGCACTGTAAATGCTCACCACCGGGTTCCAGCAAAAAAAAAAAAAAAAAATGAAGAAAAACTCAAAATGAAGAAATCTCTCATGTGGCACTTTAAACTTCCACTGGCTCATTGCATCATTGTGCTTTTTGATTTGTATTTGGCAAACTTGCTCAAAGCAAAAAAGATAATTTGAGCCATAATTTTAAGAAACTAATGCGTTCAGGTTATTATTAACATTAAACACTCAAAAACAGACGTGACGGCACATTTGGTGAAAACATAAAAATACACTTATGTAAAAAATTGGTAGTCCTACACTAAAAAGTGTGCATGCTTGTAATTCATCTTCATATGCGAATATTCACAATATTTTGGTCTGTTTATCAACAAGGATCTCCCCAAATGGTCAGGTCGGTGTTTGTAATTTGAATTTTTTCACAGTGAAAACTTTCTGTGGTTATTTTGGTATCATTTCGGCACACATCTATAAGGCATTACAGAAAACCCCTGGATGACGTCTAAAATGGGAACAGCACATTCATTTGCACTGAACTGTTTGGGTAAAGCACTCTAAAGGGGTTTGAAGGACAAAGGCTAAAGTTTAGGCAGTGTTTTCCCTTCAGTATCCCATCAGGAAGCATAAAGAACTGAACTGGCACTTCAAAAATTTAGGAAGAGGAAAGGTCACACTATAAAAAAGGGGAAAACATGGGTCTTTTAGACTTAAACATGCAAATTGCCCTGTATAATTATTTTAAGTAACATATAAAGAGGCACTGAGGTCAGTGTATAAGTTTCATTTAGCTGTTAAGCAAGACACACAACTAACCAGTAGGTTCTCTTGACAATGTTAAAGTGAAAATGGCACTAAACTTTAAAAACAATCCATAAATGTAATTAAAAAAGAAAAAAAGAAAGAAACTGAAAACAACAAAAATTGGGGGGAGGGGGAATCTAAATCTATCAGCCGGATGTGCAATGCTCGGTTATGGAAAAGACCACGGACAAGAAGTAAGGCTTTCTTGTGAGAATGAAGTGATCTATTGCTAAAGCTTTTCTCTGGTCTCTCCTTTTCTCCTGTTTTTTTCCACATTTTGTTCTTCTCATTGTCATTGTGACTGACATTTGGGTGAATACAAATGGAGAAATGAATGCTCAACAAATATCCAGAAAGATTGTTAGTGCAGTTTTTTTGTTATTTTTTTTTGCCTAGATATGTTGTATTATACACATATAATTCATATTACAAATTGTTAACTATACATATCAAAATTCCAAACACTACCGTTCTGACTTTATAAAAGTCTGAATTGATCGAAAAGTATCAAAGATTAATGATTTCATTCGCCAATATCCTGACATTCCTCATTTTTTCTTTTCTTTTTTTATTTTTCTTTGTACACAGTGTTTGATATTCAGTGCTACGTTAATATAGTATAAAAATCTTGAATCTCCAGAAGGTGCTTCACTGGAACTGGATCGTTCAGAACGTGGAGAGGAAACAGAAGCATGAGAGGCCTTCACCCAGACAGCTCTCTTTTTCCATCCCCCCTAACGATCCTCCATAAATATCATTGCGAACCAGTGACAGAATTAATGAATGAACAGAAATTGACCTCCAGATTCCCTGCATTTGAGAGCGGACAGGTCTCTGCTCAGATCTCAGCAGTCAGCCATATAGCGGCCTGTGAATGCACACAAACATGTCTCTGGTCAACTCATTTCAACGACAAACCTACATGCTTGTGCATATGTTGAGAATGTGTTGAAATCTAAACGGTTATAATAACACCATGATCTTGAATCATAACATCTTCCAGTGAAAGTGTAAATGTTGCTTTGGTGAAGTCTAAAGTCAACCTTACCAGTGGCAAATCTCTTCTTATTGAGGGAGAGACGGTAACCAGAGCCGACCAGTTCCATATCTACACCAGACAGAGTGCTGCCTTCACTGAAGAACTGAACAGCCAGGGTGGCAGGGATGGATGGACCATCAGACAGCTCAAACTTTGCTCTCAAAGAACCAGAGCCTGACACATACAAACATAGTCAATACCGAAATACTCTGTGCCAGATGATCTTTTAATCTCTACAACATAATGTAGAAAATGCACTGCGGTATCTGCTGAATAACAGCTTTCGGAAAACAATTTTTGACCTTTTTGCATTGATATATTAATTGGTCTATAAAATTCCTATGGGAAATGAGAAACAATACTATTGTGCACTTACTCACAAGCTGAGAGTCTGCTATTAAATACTAAATAGTTTTTAACTGCCCCAGAAGTACAGAATGAGGTGTTAAAAAAAAACTGGGAAGGAAGTTTTGAAAATGACTACAATAACCTTTTATTTCAAATGATCAAGGAAAAATTTTACTTTTAAATCAAAGGTTCATGTACACACACACACACAAATGCTACTTAATGTAAAAAAAAAATAAATAAAAAAATAAATACATATATTTGTTCTTACCTTCATTTTCAGACTTGTCAGAGATATCACTCAATTTCCATAATGACTTACTCTGTTCTGCGTTCCTAATTAAAACAGTAACAATCACGTGGTTAAAGGGACTCTATGATTATGTATACACCGCTGTTTAACAGTTTGGTGTCAGTAAGATTTTTTTTTTTTTTTTTGAAAGAAATTATTGCTTTTATTAAGCAAGGGTGCATTAAATTGGTCAAAAGTGACAGTAAAGACATTTACATTTTTTCAAATAAATGCTTTTTTTTTTTTTTTTTACTTTCTATTCAACAAAGAATCCTGAAAAAATGTATCTCGTTTGCCACAAAAATATTAGGCAGCTCAATTCTTTTCAACATTGACAATAATAAGAAATGTTTCTTGAGCACCAAATCAGCATATTAGAATTAGTGGTCGACCGATATATATAGCCACGGCGGATATATCGGCCGATATTTTTTATATATATTTGGAATTTTTTCAAATATCGGCATTGGTCGATAAGTTTTTCTGTTTGGCCGATGTGTTTGAGGTGGGACTTTTATTTTGACGGCGCTGAAAGCGACAGCGCCTGAGCACACACCGCTCACATTCTCCCTCTTGTTCGCTGTCGTCGTTCAGTTCTGTCTAATATGGATAGAAGTCTATCTAATAATCAGATAGAACTGTTAAACAAAGGAATGAAATTGTATACAAAAAAGTATTATAACGATTGCTTTAATATTATTAGTAATAGAAAGGCAAACATTATAATACGTTCTCGTTTGCCGTCAGCATTCAGCAAATACGCATATATCATTTAAACAAATCGTTGAATGACTAATGAACATTTAATTTCACAAAACTTGCAGACTTAGTCGAATCTAGCTGAGATGAAGTGTGCATTTGTATCCTGCATGATCGCGTGTTCTCTGCGTGACCGTCGGTCCGTGCAAATTGAATGCTGACAGGACGAGAGTTCTGCTTGACTGGAGACGCACGATCGACAAACTTTAAACTAGTGATTTCAAATTATGCTGCACTTTATGCATTTGCCCACTGTCATATTCATATCATTTTCATTATGTGCTGTATGTAAAATGAGTGTTACCTTGGCTTTTTTTGAAAAAAAAAAATATATATATATATATATTATTTCCAATGCTCACAAACGGAATACTGAGTGCCCTGTTGGTTACAGTGTTAGTGTTTACTTCCTTTTTAATTAGATTTTTATTAAATATTTATTTATTTGTGAAAAATGCTTTGTCTTCTAAAGTATAAGTATGTTTATTTTACACAATTATTTTTAATCCATTTTCAAATGATTTCAAATTTCTTAAATATAAATTAAAATAAATAAAATTATATGGGCTTAATATCCACCATCGGCCACCCTGCTTTCCAAGATATCGGCATCAGCTGTCAAAAAACCCATATCGGTCGACCACTAATTAGAATGATTTCTGAAGGATCATGTGACACTGATGACTGGAGTAATGAAGCTGAAAATTCAGCTTTGCCACCACAGTAATAAATTACATCTGAAAATATATGAAATAAAACATTTAAACGTTAGTGTATATTATGTATATAACTTAAATATTACAGTGAATAGGTCCATACAGCAGTGTTTTTATCACAAGATAAATTGTGTGTTTGTATATTTGTCTGCCTACTCCCTCCAACTCACCAGATGGCATTGGGAAGTGACTGCATGTTTGTGACACCTCCATTGACGGGCACTAACATCTGTAAATTGGTGAGAGCTGCGGGGGGCTGCATGGACTCTGGGTTGTATCGGTAGTCCACTCGCAGGTCTGTAGTACTAGGAGTGCATTTCCAGTACACCACAAGGTTCAGAGGAGTTGACTGAATCCCATTTGAACATACCTGAGAAAGGAAGGCCAAAGGATCTTTGCTTACCCACCAATAATCGGGCAAACTAAATATTAGGGGTGCACCGATCAGATATTCAGGATCGGTATTGCTTCGATACTGGCATTTTCTGCTGGATCGGGGTATCGGTCAGACGAGACCGATCCAAATCCGATATAGTGCTATACTATTCTGTGTTACTGTTAAGCCCCACGAAAGGTACAAAAACATTATAAAGCACCATAAAGTTTCCGTGCACTATATTTCAAGTGTTCTGAGACCGTTCCATAGTTTAATGTGAGGTACGAATATTTAAGTCGTTAAATTCAAGTTCTCGTAAACTCTTCTCTCTGCTGCGGCTGTCAGTCATCCTCCATTGAGCGTTCAAACTGCGTGTTGCTTTCAGTTACGACAGTCAAGACGACGAAACTCTCTCTAGGATGATGCAATGTTCCTATTATTATACTTGATTTGTAGATAAACATCAGCGTTTTTATTTTGAACTTTATCTTGCTGGAGTTTAGTGCTAATTCTAAATCCTGTTACTTTCTATCGGGTGTCTGTTAGAGGTTCACTACACTGGAGTACAGAGCACTATGAATTGTTCTTCACGCGCACAGTAACTGAAATTTAAAAATGTTAAAAGAAAAGGTTCAATAAACTAATGCACAGATTTAAAGGGGTCATATGACGTTGCTAAAAAGAACATTATGTTTTGTATTTGGTGTAATGCAATGTGTTAATGCAGTTTAAGGTAAAAAAAAAAAAAAACATTATTTTCCATATAATGTACATTATTGTTTCTCCTCTATGCCCCGCCTTTCTGAAACGCGTTGATTTTTACAAAGCTCATCGTTCTAAAAAAGCGAGGTGTGCTCTGATTGGCCAGCTATCCAGTGCGTTGTGATTGGCCGAATGCCTCAAACATGTGACAGAAATGTTACGCCCCTTAACATACTGTGATGCCGTCTCCCAGCAGGACGAGACTCAGTCCAGCTGCTCTGCTCGTGCACATCCCATCATCGGTTCTCTTTTAGCAGTTCAGTCAATGTACTGTAAGGAGTAGCTGAATAACTCGGGATATTGGTTTATTTCGGGTCAGAGGGAGTGTCAGGCACGTTTATAAACCGAATAACTTAAGTAATTTGTGGATTAGTGCGTACTGGAGACGCGAACAGTTTCAAACGATTCAGTTTGATTTGGTGAACTGGATCAACCGGTTCACTAAGAAGATCTGGTTAAATAGAACGATTCGTTCGCGATCCGAACATCACTAGACGAGACAAAACCAGTAAAACACATTACAAACGAGGCATTTGTTGCATCCAGTGGGGACATAATTACTGATTATAATGACTTATACTGTCTTTTTACGCGTTGCTTTGCGTATCACGCTGCGTAAACATAAAACCATGTCTGCATTTGTGATCGGAGAAACAACAAACGCTACTCTACACTGCTCAAAACTCACATTTGAATCATCATTGGCAAATTATTTAAATATTCGCTTTCACAACAAAACACAGCGACTCCACAACATGGCAGCGGCGGCAACAGCGAGAATAAAAGTTACGCCTTCTTTCTTTGTGTGAACATTTGGGCAGCGTTATACAAATCTTCCCACATCGTGACGTAGATATGTGGGGGTGTGTTAGAATGAGCCGTTTTAGGAGGGTGTGGTTGACTCTTAACTTTTATAAAGAATATCTCTTTGGATTTGAGACTTTAGTCTTTGCAACTTTACAGATCTTCTTTATGCACCAAGAGCTTGTAACACTCAAAAGAGAAAGGAAAAATTGAAATCGCATCATATGACCCCTTTAATACACTACGCATCAGTATATCTTCCCTTTGTGCTTTGAACTTTTCTATGTGGAGCGCTGCGCGTAACATTCCGCATAAGCGCTTCATGCCGCTCTGTATTGGAGCCTTTCATGTTAATACTTTTGCGCAATGAAAGATTGTTAATAGCCTTTCTTGTTCTGTCTTACCTATCATATGTTGCTGTCTCATTAATGTGCTATAAATGCAAAATAAATTTAATTTATTGCATATATTTATATATAATTATATTTACTTGTTTTTCATGAATGCATATTATAATACATAGAGCAATGTGTAACATTTTACCAGATTACACCTATACATTTACTTTTACCCCCACTAAATGTTTTTTCTCTAAATGTTATTATTGTGAACTCATCATTTTTGAAGAGTAACTTTTGCTGCTGAATTATCCACTAACCTAGTTTATAATAGTATTATGATTATATATTTTTTAATTTGTTATTTTTCTTTATAATGAAGTTGTCTATATTTAGTAGATTGTGTGTAATACACAAAAGAGTGATGATCAGGTCAACACACACTGAGGTCAAAAAACTGTGCTGGTATCGGATTTGGTATTGTCTGTAGAGTCTGGACCAATCAGACCAATCAGACACACCATCTTTCAGTAGATTTAACAAATCAATTATTCATTAGATTAACAAATCGTCACAGACCCCTCACCCAATAAACATACTGGGTGCCAGGTTGTCTGCGAAAGACACCAGGCCCCTGGTCACCATGGCAACCAACACTGATATCACTGGTTTTATTGCCCAAAGGAATGTGGGTAGAGAGAATCACTACATTTTCCATAGGAAGAGACACAATGCACAATAAAAATGGGCTCTTCTCTAACTAATTAATAGGAAAACCTTTCTTTGAATGAGCACACATATCCTTCAGGTCATTGTGTATGTTGTCGTTATATTGTATACTGTTTATGCAGGCTTGTGATGGAACCACTCGTTTCTGTCATCTTACCTATATGTAATTCTACCATGTTTAGTATCCATGAATTCGTCTTCTAATGATGATCTGAACAAGAGTGGATATTATATGTTGGTACCTATGCAACATATATGTGTTCTAAGAATCTTTATTAGTTTGTGCATCAACACCCCAAGCGAATTACATTTGCAAATTACCATGCCCTCACACAAAGGGTCGTAAAACCCTCCAGTAACTACAACCTCCCGCTGGGGATTTCAGCCTTTCTCATTGGACAAGCCCATCTTGAGAGGCGTGAATCTTCTCAGACCTTAAAGGCCTCACATCAGTGACCCGCCTCGAGTCGGTGGTTCTGTTAGGTTCTGAGAAGATGTGAGCTACAACACTGCAAAAGACACCCTAAGTTTGTGCCAGGCCTCGGGCCTTGACTTTCCATGTGCGTGTGTGTGTGTGTGTGTGTATGTGTATGTGAGACTAGTTTAAGTGTTTATGCAGTATGTTAGACTAGTTTAAGTGTTTATGTAGTTAATAAAGTCTTACTTGTATCACACTTGACGTTGTTCATTGTTTGCTCATAACTGGAGTCCCTTAATCATGCAGATTTATGCTACAGGCTCTGTGTAGAATTGTACAGTAAGAAAGTTATTTCCCTTAACCAGGAAATTAACGTTCTTAGAATTGACAGACAGTTGACCCTAAGAGGTCAAGTAAATACTTACAGCGGATCTAAATATTTATAATTAATTATAACTAGTTATGATTAATTATTCATATTTCCCCCTGAGCTGATTTGCTACATGTCCGATACTCAGAACTTTTGGTATCGGATCGGTTCTGAAAAAATGGTATCGTGCCACACCTACTAAATATCAATAGTAAACATGCAAGTATACTAGACCAGCTAGTACTAACATGCTTTACTTGTATGCTTTTTGAAGAATTCATAGGCTAACAGAGAACTATCCCAAAGATAACAGAATGAAAAACTACAAACCTGGTACTTTAAGATGTCCACGTTGTAATAAGATGCAGCAGGGTTCTGCTCAGAGCTCTTCCTGAGGTACGCTGTCAGTGCAGGCATGTTCAGCCAAAAGTCTTTAGTGTCTGTGTCGCTCTGGGAGGAGTCACTGGAGTCACACACACACACACACACACACACACACACACACACACACACACACACACACAACAGAGAAAACACTATTAAGAGCTCAATAATTCATTGCTGCATGTCATTGTAGCAGCATGGAACAACTAACCCTACTGCAGCAGCTCAACTATTAAATCACAAATCCCTCCTGATTTGATTAGTCATGCCTGGGAGCTGCTGGCACGAACTCGCACAACAGCAAAAAGGATGTGGATGAGTGAGAGCAGCATGAGTTTAGCCTGAGCACTTGATGCTAATATGTGGAATCATGATGAAAATAAGAAGGCTGTTACAAATATACAAAATATTTCAAGCCAGTCTCTCTCTTATGCCCACCAAGGCTGCATTTATTTGATTAATAACACTGTAAAAACTTTTTCAAAATATTAATTTATTCCTGTGATGGCGAAGCTGAATTTTCAGCAGCCATTACTCTAGTCTTCAGTGTCACATGATCCTTCAGAAATCATTCTAATAGCTGATTTGCTGCTTAAGAAACATGTCTTTATTTTGGCAGTTATCAACAGGTGTGCTGCTTTTTGTGGAAACCGAGATACATGCTTTATAAGGATTCAGTTCAAGAGAACAACATTTATTCGAAATATAAATTGTAACATTAAAATGTCTTTACTATCACTTTTGGTCAATTTAATGCATCCTTGCTGAATTAAAAAATTTACTACCTTTCCAAAAAAAAAAGTCAACAATAATAATAATAATAATAATAAAATACTGACCAAATGGTAGTGTAACACAAGCAGAAACACAAACTCACCTGTGCAGTAGTTGCTGGTTGGGCATGATTTGCTCTAATCTGCTAGTGTTTGAGAGTTTGAAGCTGAGTACAGCAGGAGACGCAGTAGAGGTGAAAATCTTGATGATGCCGCTGGGGAAGGACAGGGTCATGTCTCCTGTGATCTTCACAATGCACCTAAATTCACATGTGAGGATTTTTAAAAATCATTTTACAGATATCACATTCGGGGCTGAGCATACACATGAATTATTTCAGAAAATAAAAAGTTTCCATTTTCAATTATTTTCTAAAACTGTATTAATTGTATTACTCTTTGATGTTTCTAGGCATGGAGATCACAATTGTACAACTCTCTATGTCAAATGTATAGAATGTCTTTAGAAGTCTGTATGGTCTTTGCAGGGCAGATGATGTGAAACTCACTTGCTGGGATCTGCTCCTTTGAAATAGGCATTAACTGATTCTGTGAATGCTACCGCAATGGGCAATGCATCCTGGGAAGCCAGTGTCACTGGACTGGGCCCACGAGAGGTCCCTATGAGAGAAAAGAAAAGAAAAAAAACATTTAAAAACAGTAATTTAAGTATGAATCAAAAATACTAGGAGGAATGTGATTGAGTTCGCAGTGACAAATACTGAAAGATCAACAGGTAAAACGAAAAGACTTCTTTGAGCAATTTCTGCCAAGCATCCTCATCAGCCACAATACAACACAGCCACACAATAGTCAGTTTTATGAGTAGAGATCATCCACGTTAGTTTGAGGCAAGAAAAATCCACCGCAGATCAAATGGCGTGTTACAGAATGGGAATAGGGTGTGGTTTAGCAGATGGGGCAATGCAGTTGGTTGATCAAGGACAGATGATCATTTCGGAGTTTGTTAGTAAGTTAGAACAAAATGTTCTTCTGGGTTCTTTCCACTGTACCTGCAGGAGTCTCACATCTCTTCTCAAATGTGGGCAGTTTCCCCACGAACAGATCGTCCTCTTAATTCAAAATGAAAGAAGGAAACCAAAAAGAGAAAGAAAAATAGGCCGAGAGAACAACCCAACAGTGAAGGGTGAGCATGGAGTGATCTGGTAAGCGATGTGTTGACCATATAATTAAATAAAACGTGTGGAGCATTATTTGTGCATGTTAGCTTTCCTTAGATGTGGACATGAGTATAAAAAAAACGCAACAAATAACCCAATACATTTGAATTTTATTGTGAATGTGGATGATGTGAATGCAGATTTTGTGTGGGCAGCTTGTGTTCATCTTAATGTGTGAAACTGAAGACTCACCGACAGTTGGTGTGTTGCTGGTGCTCAAGGAGGTGTTGGAGCTGAGAGAGGAGGAGCTCTCGGCACGAGCCAGAGGAGCAGCGGGAGGAGGGCTGGAGTTGGACATCTTATGAGGGCTGAACGGTCGGCCCTGCAGAAAACAACTAACTGATTAATAATTCACTGCATTCAATCTTCATTTAGTTCGGGTTCAGTCCCTATACTATAGCCTGGGTGAGGTGGAATCAGGGAATATCTTCTTTACTCACAGCCTCATTGATGCCCGTCAGTTTGCCAGCAGGCAGTTTGGGCCGGGATAATGGTCTTGGAGGCGGGACAATGGTTGCTGTGCCCAGGGGAGTGGTTGGCCTGTTTGGCGGTGGTACTGTGCCAAAAAAAACACCCACAAATGTTAGAACCACAAGACGTGCAAAAAAGGGGGAAATATGGAAGTAGCATACTCTGAGCATGATTGAACCCAACAATGCTGAAAAACATTCAAAATGTTGCTACAATAGGTTTGACATTACACAGTCTTGCAGAAACAAGCTAACAGTCAAATCTATAGTTTATACGTAATGCACACGCAAGGGCCAACGTCACAATATAAACAAATTATAAATTATGGACAAACAAAGTGAATACAGAAAATAAGTATAAAAAACTAAATCAAGTAAAGAAACGAAACGAAAAGAAACATCTGCACCTTTTAAACCATCTTAGTCATATTGTTTTGGAATTAGAAAATGCTGGATATGATATTTCTGAGCGAATTTGCAGACATATTTGCACTGAGATGCTTTGGCAGGTGAATCGGAAAAAAAAAGTCAAACCAAACTTAGGCCACATTTTCTTACTGTATCCAGCTAAAAAATGCATTATTTAAATAAATAATTAATGCAGAAAATGTAACAAATAAATAGATTTTCAATTTGAGTAACTTTACTGAGTATACTGTATAAAACAAAACAAATCAAACTAAACTTGGGCCAAACATTTTCTTACTGCATCCAGCTAAACAGTAATTATGACTATGATGGCTTACAGGTTTGTTACATTTGTATTACTTAAATCAATAATTAATGCAGAAAATGCAAAAATAAAATAAACATTTTCACCAATCAATCAAAAAATGTAAAATTAAATTCTAACTGGAGGAAAAAAACTAATAAATAAAAACCAAATCCACCAAATCGGTTACAATAAATGAAAACAAGTTACATAAAAAATTAGGTTTGTTAAATGCACACTACATATTTCACTGTCATGTAGCCATGGGACAGTGTTTGAACATGCTTAGAACTCTCACTCATTCCTCAATATTACCATACTGCATGGGTCGAGCTGGTGCTTCCTTTAGAGAGGGGGCACTCTCCTCTCTCCCAAAGCTGCCAAATGTGTCAACAGGCTCTCTGGAGAAAAGCTTGGGCTGTTGAGAAATGGGCACTGACCGAGGCCTTGGTGGTTGATGGGACAGTCCACGACATGGCACAAAGGCATCATTAAAGGCAATCCATTGGCTCTGGGCCCAGGATGAAAGTGCGTCTGGACCAGTGACGGGAGCACTGAGAGGGGGCTTGTGGGTAACATAGTCCTTAGGAGCAGCCTGCAGAGCTGGAAGCACACTCATAGCTCGAGCTGGGCCAGGGTGGAGGGGAGCGACAGCCTCATCAGGGAGCTCCCAAGGAGAGGAGAGAACAGGGAACGGCGGAGTGCATGGCTTGGCAAGACCGGCAGGAGGAGGGAGTTTGGAGGGAAGGGGAAAAGAAGGAGCCTCGGTAATCTCAAGACTGACTACTGAAGGAGAGGTGGGCTCCGACTGTAAATCCACTTCTGTTACAGAGGTCATCAGAGAGAAAAGAGTAATACGCGGTTGTTAAATATATACCACATACTGACAGGCATGTTGAAAAGACTACATGGAGGAAATAAAAAAAACAGGAAAAAGCACAGAAGATTTAATCTGAATATGGAATCTAGCTCTATATTTCACATAATTACATAAAAACTCATATTTTAAAACCAAAACTAGGAAAAACAGACCTTTTTAAATGAGGCAGTATCAGTGAAAATGATCAAAATATATATAAAAAGATACAATTGAAAGTAAATCATAAGTATACAATGATTAAAAAAAAAAGTAATAAAAATGAAAAAAGAAAATAACAAAATAAAAGATAGAAATTACATTTTTCAAATAAAACAATACTATAAGTGTGAATAGAAATTATAAAAAAACAATGGTCAAAATATTGTAGAATCCCACTGAAATATGCACTTTTAAAGATCCCTAAAAACATATAAGACAACCTGGTGATCGAAAGCAAACTACCAGCTAAACTTCATGCACCTCTGTCAGTCACAACAAATAAAACACTATAACATAAATTAGTTGAAAATATTTAAAATGACATAACATTGTTAAAAGGTATGGGTCAATGTGTAAATTCTGTACTCACTCTTATGTCGCTTCAAACCTGTATGACTTTTTTCCCCAAGGGATTGAGTAAATTATGAACTTGTTTTACATTTATGTAAACTTTCCTAAAAGCACTCTGTTGAAAATATTCATATTCACAGATACATCTCTTAGAAACATTAGGGGTGAGTTCAAGCAAAACATTCCAATCATCATTCACATTTTTGCATATTTTGAGCAATTCGGGTCAGAGTCCGTTATGGAAAGAGTTTTATTCTCACGATCAAACCGCAAGCATGGGCAATAGCATTACCTGGGTCTTCAAAAACCCCATTATTTAACTGCAGTGGGAGAGATGTAGGGAAAGATGCTAAGAAGAGAGAAGCCAGGTCTGAGAAACAAAAAAGCGTTGAACAAATACAAAGAATGAGAAAATAAAAGGAAATCAATATAAATAAGGCTCAATTAAAACAAATGAGAGAAACAACACTAATCAAAAGCCCCAAAAAAACAACAACCCTAAATAGCACAATAGCTCACAGCAGGGAAAAAAGCAAAAATGCAAGTGCAATACCTCGCTATGTTACTCACGTCCTATATCCTCTTCACTGCTCTTTTTGTTCCTTTGCCAGGTCAGACCCATAACAAGATCATGTTTGACAATGTCTGTGACATGGGGACTCCAAACTCCGCCCTCTGACCTCTGAAGGTGCCAATTAACTCTGGATTATGATTGGCCCTCGCAGCTAAGGTCAGAGCTTGAATGACGGGTTGGCTTTTTTTAGTGACTGCATTGAGTGGCTTAACAAGAAAAGCGCTCAATTTTTTGCAAACGAATATAACATTCACCCTAGAATTTACCCACAATATATTTTCCAAAATAAAGGATTACAACATAGAATTAAAAAGTCTAAAACATTTTCTATAAAATAATTAATAGCCACAAAAATAGATTTGTGTATATGACATACTGTCAATTCTGTGAAAATTTACATTGGGTTAAGACAACTATCAACAGCGCCATTCTCTAAGATATGGAAGCTCCTAATTCCCAGATGAGAAAATGACATTTCGTTTCAACAATCAAGGTCAAGAGCTAAGGAGAGGGAGATGCGTAGAGCATGAGGGAGCACGTATACTATACTATACTCACGGCATACACAAGGGGCTTTTTTCACAAATGCACATTTTTGTGTAAACGGCGTAATTTGTGTTAAGAAATACAAGTATCCGTAAACAACTGAGATATATTTTTAAAAAGCCCATTCTGTAATTCCAAAATGTAAAAAATACAAAAACAAAAATAAACAAACCCGCAAATTAGAAACACAAACAACAACAACAAAAAAATCCCATGGCATTCACAAAAGATTTCATACTAAAGCAGAGGACAGACTGAGTGAAGTCGCTGTGGGATACGAGGGTTTCCGTGACAACAGCAGCCTGAGCAAGCTCTCTAGAGGAGACTGTTGTGGACTGGAAAAGCCCAGACACTTTCACCAGCCTGTAAGCATCATCAATAATGAAGGAGGTCAGACCTAAGACAAGCCTCCCAGAGGCTGGGGGATGGAGGGGTGAATGACTTACGACTGTCTGCCTGTACAGTGTGTGTGTGTGTGTGTGGTCGATGAAGAACGTTCTGACTCCATTACTGTCAAGCTGAACTCTGTCATTAAGATGCTGACCCTGAGACATGTTTTAAATATAAATATTACTTGTAAATACTTGTGTGTGTGTGTGTGTGTAATATATACACACATACAGTACATACATATACACATTACATGCTCTTTTGTAGAGTTTATGTAAAATACAACACCTCGGATTTGGAATTATAAATGGTGTCTATTTGCTGTATTACAACAGACAGAGTTACCTGATGAGTGAGGTATAGAGGAGCTGGAGCTGGTCAGGCCAAATGGATCCAAAGACAGCAGGTCATTATTGGCTAATCTACTGTTTGAAGAAAAGAAAAAAGCATGACAAGTGAATAACAATGTTACAATTGTTACAATGTTTTCCAAATAGAGTGACAGGGTTAACAGCAAACTTCTCTTACTCATTAAAGGATGTCTGCGGTATCTTGGGTCGTGCCAGTTCATCACCTGAAAAACAATGAGAAAACACACAAATGAGTCATGGGGCAACTCTTCAGGCTTCATGATCTGGAAGCAGTTGAAAGAAAACCCTTAAATTAAACAAAGAAATCCCTTTGCAAATGTAAGGGTTTTCTTAACTTTTTTAACTAAGAGTTCTTACAACTGGACATTGCTCATTAGGCCTTGATTTAAAATGCAACTCATGTGTTTCATGAAGTAAAAAGGACATTAAAAAATTAAATACTAGATTGTTAAGAGAAAAACTATTGTTGGATGCCAGATAAAAAAAAACAATAGGGAACCCAGAAAATAAACCGCAGCAGTCATTTGGTTGAGCAAGGATAGTGTTTCTGACCATGAAGTGCCATGTCAGGTGGTTTAAAACTGGTAGTAAGTCGAGTACTACATGAGACACATGTTCTTGCAACCCCATTTATCACAGGTCAAGCATCAAATACATACATTTAAAATGACATGCTATAAATGTTCTGCATAGTACATTTTAAATGGTACATATTTGAGATCAAATCCCAAAGACATACAGTGTATTATACACAAATTACAAATGACAGTGTTAAAAGACAACAGATTAAATTAGTAACCAATGGTAATTTTGGTACAAATAATTAATTTTTTAGATTGCACATTTTGTTTTTATTTTTATTTTTTCAGCTTCAACGGAATCCCTCATTCCCACCAACACAAATGCAGCTACGGACCAAAAGAGAGTGTGGGTACGCTCAGCAGACTCACCTGACTTTGGTTTTATAGCAGGGAATGTTTGTTGTCGTGTCATTCCTACAGTAAGTATGTGTGAGATCCACATTTACAATAACATTCAGTACTGAATATTCTTTAGTTTATTCTAAGTTGCCCAGGTGCCGAGAATAAGAAATATATCTGTATATATTTATTTTTTTATGGTATCCATTGATTTACTATTTAGAATACCAGTCATCCAATGCTCATTCAAATTCTTTAAAACTCTAAATAATTTAATAACACGGTTAAATGTATTCTTTAATAAATCTCAAAATAAACCTCTATATAATGTCACGATGTTTAAGGTCAATTGTGGCTTTTAAATCAACAGATTTTTTTAGTGTTATATTTATTTATTTACTAAACAAAATAGTATCAAATTTTTTTGGCCATTTATCAGTTATATGCCATAACCTGAAAAGGACATTTGTGACCCTGGACCACAAAACCAGTCTTAAGTTGCTTGGGTATATTTGCAGCAATAGCTAAAAAAACATTGTATGGGTCAAAATTATTGATATTTCTATTATGCCAAAAATCATTAGGATATTAAGTAAAGATCATGTTCCATGAAGATATTTAGTAAATTTCCTACTGTAAATATATTAAAACTTAATTTTTGATTAGTAATATGCATGGCTAAGAACTTCATTTGGACAACTTTAAAGGCGATTTTCTCAATATTTGGATTTTTTGCACCCTCAGATTCCAGATTTTAAAATAGTTGTATGTCTGACAAATATTGTCCTATCCTAATAAACCATACATCAATGGAAAGCTTATTTATTCAGCTTTCAGATAATGTATAAATCTCAATTTCGAAAAATGGACCCTTATGACTGGTTTTGTGGTCCAGGGTCACATTTTGGCTCGACACCAATAAGCCATAAAATCAGTTTGTAAAAAGAAATTAAACATGGTTCCCTTAAAACATAATACTAAACACTATCACTAAAGATACGATCTATCTTTTGTGATTCCTGAAATAGCATCTTGGTGTGATTTCAGATAAAACGTAACATCTATTGGATTAATGGACTTATGGGATAAAATTATCTGCCAGACCTTATCATTTTCAGCACGTGCAAGAGGTTTGCGGTAAATTCGCTCTTTGAAGAAATGTTTACCGTTCCATTGCAAGAATAACAAAACATTTCTACTGTAAGCTCAATTACTGTCTTACGGATTTAAAGTATGTAAAACTTTCCTGGGAGGTTGAAATCGTCGCTCTTGATGTGAGAACATGCCGCAGTGTAAACACTACATTCTGGCATGCATCTGTGTTCGTTTAAGCCACAATTTACTGGAAAAATGTAAAATTATGATGGATAGAAAAACATAAACACACAATTAAGCAGTTAATCTTGCTCATGGCTTAAGGAGGCAACGCTGTGCTACTCAGATGAGGAAAAAATGGGAGATGATGTTTATTTTCTCATGGGATGAGTTGGCTTTGGAGGGGTCACCGGAGCGAGATGAAGGAGGCTTGACGAGAAACGTCACGGCCAAGAAAAACTAAAAAGAAGTCAAAATGGCAGGCGCTCTCCAGAGCCAAACCTTCAGAGTGACAGAGGGATGGAGGGAGGATGAAAAAAAAAAAGAGAGGAATACTCACTGGACTGGTTCTTCTTCATATGAACCTGGAAATGAAAACAGGCTTTTATTAATGAGAGTGAGAGAGGAGTTATGAAAACAGCAGAAGACATGAAGTGCTTCATCCCCACATTTGTTCAATCGATATTGGCCTCACAGGACGACACACACACACACACACACAGCAGAATGAGCAGAGAACCGCTCTATTGAGATTACATATTCAAACCATAAGTTCTGCATCAATATTCTGCAGGCAGTCTAAACACGAGAAAATGAGTGGCAGAGAATCCAACCAAATTCACTACCGGGATTGTTTTGAGGCTGAGAAATGTCAACAAGAGTCAACTAGCAAAACGGCAACAAATGCACAAAGATGGGAAGGCTTGGTTTATTGTATATTTAAAGTGACTCATATGCAGCATCTCTGCCCGAAACTCTGTCAGAGTGGATGGAAAGAAATCTCACTTATTTTTTGTGCGTTCGATGAAAAGAAACACATCAGAACATCAACGTATGGACCATAAATGTAACTAAATGGTCAACCGTGAAGGAAAAACTGTGGAAACACAAACAAACACACACATGCATAGAAATAGACATACACGCAAGGCATGGTTTAGTCCCATAGGCAGAGAGTGGCAAATGGGTTCAATTACAGCACCCAGGCCACACACCCGCCAAAGAAAAAGAGAGAGAGAGAGCACACATGAAGGGGAAAGAGAGACAACAGAAGACTAGAGGAAATGGAAAGCTCTATAATACCAATAATCTACAACAGATGACATGGCATTCGTCATCACCTAGATTTCCTGACTTAACCAAAACTACCATAAAACATATCCGCTTAAAAAATTAAACGAACAGGGCAATGAAAAGCAATGAGACAGAGAGGGAAAGGAAACACAACTCTGATATGAGACACGAAGAAAAATGTTCAGTATGGTGAACGAGTGAGTTTTTCAGATGTGTAAATATTTCAGAGGTTAATCTGAGTGATTACTGAGCACATTTGGGGCAAGAGAGAAAGCTCAAGCCTGGTGAAATGAATGATGAAGAGCCTCTCTAAAAGATGTGTGTTAATCCATCTCAAACAGAGGCGGCAGCGAAGGTGTCTAAAGTAAACTGTCGCCCCGGCTGTGCTCACTGAAAACACAAGCTGGCACTTGTGAGGATGTGTTATTGCAGAAATACATCACTCTGTCATTTCAAAGTGTCACAACGAGACGAAGAGCGAGGGATGCGGAGAGAGAATGTAAAACACACAAAAGGGTGAAACTGAGCAGTGGGACAGATGAAATCTTGGACAAAGAGAAATCACAGTTACAAACGATGTTACTGACATAACTAACCTAATCAATTTGTTTTTATTCTGTCCATAACACAGCTAATGTTTATCAGCTAATACCAATATGCTATCATTCAAAAGTTTGATTAAAACAATTTGTTTTAATGTTTATTGAAAGAAGGCTGCATTTATTTGAACAAAAATATTGTGAAAAATTGTTACAATTTAAAATGTCTATTTTCAACTTTTCTATTTTCAATTTTAATTTGTGTGATGTGATGCAAAGCTGAATTTTTTAGCAGCCATCACTTTAGTCTTTAGCTTTTAGTGTCACATAATCTTTCAGAAATCATTCTAATATGCAGATTTGACGCCCATGAGATATTTCTCATTATTATGATTAATGCTGAAAGTGCATAGATGCATAATATTTTTGTAGAATTTGGATTCTTCGATAAATAGAAAGTTAAAAATAACAGCATTTACCTGAAATAAATCTTTTGTAACATTAAATGTCTTTTCTGTTACTTTTGATCGATTTAATGCATCCTCGATGAATAAAATCAATAACTTTTATTCAAAAGAAAAGGAAGAAAGCTGCAAACCATTCACAAGAATCAGGGATGTTTCGTTTATTTTTAAGCAACTAGCTCTGAACATGTCAAGACATTGGTTGCCTAAAAACTATTAAACTAAACTTTTCTTTTACGGACACAGCTGTTGCATTCATGAGCCTTTGTGTGTGTGTGTGTGTGTGAGCGCGTTTACCTTTGTGATCTTACTCATTAGAAACAGAGTCCCTTCCGTGCTTCCTGTGGTGAGATTTCAGGCAGGAAGTTGCATGGGTTTGTTTACCAACAGCACACACACACACACACACACACACACACACACACACAGATGGTCCACAGGCTCACAGTGTGTGCTGGAGGAACTGCTTGACCACACAACTGTACATGCGCACACACACTTAATTTCTAACATTAAACAACAGAATAGCTGATCATCTTTGTGTGACCTCACCCATTATGTCATCATGACTAACTCAGACACAAACACTTGAGATAAATAAAAGTCCTTTGGGCCAACATAATATTATTTTCAATGAGCTAGTTAAATCTTTATAATGACCACAGGTGCGTAACGAACACGCACGCAAAATACAATTGCACTCAGGCTCACAAATCAGGATGGAGAAAAAAAGGGTGAAAGCATTTAAAGCATCTCTATGGACCGCCTGTAAATTTCATAATCAAATAGTGCCCTCTAGTGTCTGCTGGGCCAATGGAGGTTTTTGGAGGATGAGATGAAATGTGGGAAGCAGAAACATGACTGTAAATGATATCAACCAATCACAAGTCTCTTTGCTGACAGTGTGCAATCACCCTTTATAGAGGTAGACCAGCTTGCATTATTCTGTGAATGAATGTAAGGTCTGTATGCGAGGATCTTTACACTTGGTGTGTGTGCTGGTGTGAGGCGTCTCTTACGGCAGGGGTGGGCGAGAGCGTGATGTTTCCAATGGAGGCCTTCAGCTCGTCGATGGTGACTTTGTGCTGGTGTGTGCCGTTGTTTGTCTGCACGGGTTTGATCTGGACGTGGAATTTTCTTGGCTCGTCCTCATCTTCTGAGTCACTGGATGAATAAAAGGAGTTCTCTTTGGCATGTGATCAGAACCGTTAAGGAACATGGTTGTGGGGGCATGAAAGTTTGTCTATAGTATCATGGGTTAAGAAGATCAGACTGTGTATTTTATTTAATTTTTTTTTTACATATTCTAATCCACACAGAGCGATGGGATAGCTTTGGTAAAGAAAAAAAACAAAAGAAAATCTGATGGGAAGGAATGACTTGGCAGCGATTCAGATAAAAGTGCAACAAAGAAAGTTATCACACTGTGTTCTCGAGCCAAAAAAAGTGTTCAGTAGTAGAGTAGAGGCGATGAAAGAGATAAAGGAAAATGTTTCTGTGACCGAGATGAAAGTGTGTGTGTGTGTGTGTGTGTGAGAGAGGGATGGGGAGAATGGAAGAGATGGATCTGGAGTAAGGATATCATTCTCATTGACTTCTGGTCGGATACAGAAGCCGTCCTCATCCAGCTGAGGCACATTCTGCAGAAAAACACAGAACACACCACATACAAAAAATCCTATTATTCACACTCTTCAATACATCACAACACAAGGAGAGTCCGACTGAGGTAAAATACACTATTGTTAGCAATATCGCAAGAAGTATGCACACTATGCTGTCTTTACTTAACATTGTAAGAATTATAGACAATCCTTCAACAACATTAGGTCACCACTCACGGCGTTATGAAGATCTATAGCACCGTAGAAACCCGGGGGAGCTCCGTTGGAAGCGTTCTGAAAGATGGACGAACAAAAGGAGCACTGTGGGTGAGACTCAAATGGAGTTTCTCCAAAATAACAAGAAAGAGCATACTTTGATCAGAAGAAATGAGTTTCATGTTATGAAATGACAGAAAAATACATTTGGCTTTGTATGAAAACATTCAAAATATGAATAATTTTCTTAAATAATAATGATAATAAACAAAATTATTAATTGAATAGAAAAAAAGAAAAGCATATACTCACAACTGCTTCTGCTTCAGTCGATTCACTATTCAAGACAGAGAAACGTTTATTAGAGAACAATACTTAATTTTACCACAAATGCAAAATTACTATGCAAATATAACTTATTATAATTACTCAAACACAATAATTATTGCTCTAAATTGCAAAAACTCTCCATAGCAAAAATGAGTTTACTTCTCTCAACCTTCTCTCAAGTTTTGTCAAATAAAATTATAACAAGTATTTCACAAAATATTATGAAGAACTAAGTTTGAGAATTAAAAATGACTGATAGAAATAGTTTAATTCTTTAAATGCACAAATAGCAAGTGAGATCACATTAAAGTAAAAATCAACACATACGTGGAATCTGTGTCTTTATCTTTCCGTCGGCCTGGAATGACAAAGGTTTTCCTTTTTCTGGGTTTTGCACCTAAACAGACATAAGCAATGATTATCACAAATCTAGACAATTACTGAAACACATCCTAAAATAGATACTATGCTGTTTAACAGAACACAAAGGCTATAAAACTAAAAGTCTAAGTAAATTGTTATAAAGAGATGTAATCAGAGATATTAAAGAGAAATTATATATTCTATATATTTCCTATAAAACACGAAAATGGGAACGGAGAGAAAAATTAATGCAGACCTTCTGTGGCGATTGAGACATTACATTCCTCAAATTCAATGGGCCCTGTAATGACAACAGACAAACAAATACAAATGATTGAAGGGATGTCATGTTACAGTATTTAGAAATCAAGAATTATGATATGGTGTAATATTTAATATTACAACTTTTTTGTTTTGTTTTTACAGTGTTTCATAAAATCATGCACATAAATCCACAAAAACAGTGACGCACACACACACAGGTCAGATTTTTTGGCAAGCAAATTTACAGAGTCATCAGAGGGTCTGGTGACAATCAGCACGATCTGACTTCCCCTTTAAGCCAGAGCATTTAGTTCACAGCCAGCATACAACACACACTAATAGATGCGCACACACACACACACACACACACACACACACACACAAATGCATGTGCAATGCAATGGAAGTACTTCTGATTTTAACCTCATAAATCAAATATACACACAAATCCAACACAATGACGTGTAGCATTGATAACACTCAGTCAAATGCAGTACACTAGCCCACAGTGAAAACATGAATATAACACACAGACTTGCTGCAAAATACAACAAACTGCATGCTTCATTTCTTGCTCATCAATTTTGCATATTTACCTACAAGCTTTTACACTTGCAACATGACCCAGTTCCACACTGACACATGGATGAAGGGAATTAAACAAACTCTGCCATTTTCACTGTATTTCGCTTCTTAGGGTTTTGCAGTCATGACCTAACAACATGTCAGCCAAGTTTTTATTTCAGAGTTCAGTTGAAACGCAAAATAACAGGATTCAAAATTAAATCTAATTTTAATCTTACTAACCTCAGTTGGTTTGGCTATAGATTCTCAATAAATATCCTGAGCAGCATATAAGTATTAATTCTGTGCTTTCGTGACTGGCCGTAAAGAGAGGAGAGATGCCCCTCAGTGCTCTAAGAGCCCTTTAGAGCATGTTTTCTTTTGTGTTAATGCACGTAAAAGCTAATGCTTGTCCAAGAAAACGAAAGACAGCATTTTACTACCACCAGACCTCAGCAAGAGAGCCCGGGGTGCTATTTTCATTGCACAGAAAATGCCTTGACCTGAAAAAACAAAAGTGTGTGATATTTAACTCGAGCGGTTCAATAGAGTTTCCCTGGAGAATGGTGGCTGCGAGCGGACCTCATGTGCACTGTTCAGAGCAGTCACGACAGGCACACATCACACACACTGACGTAGATACAGTATGACCGATCTACTCTACTGCACCAGATCACTTCACCCTTTTAGCTCTCTGTTTTTTGTTTGTTTGAGATCATCTCTGATCAAACAATCTGAACTAAATGACACATACTGTCAGTTTACACACATACCCAAACACACACACACACACGAAAATGAAAGACCCACTTCAATTGAAATCATATTAAATATATCAAATTATTTGATTCATTTGAACTATACACTGTCTTATTAGGGACATAGCACAGACATGTATGGTTTTTGCTGTTATGTAATAATTCTGTGTAATATTTATAAATAAACTCTAACCTTCAGAAAACCTTTTGCATTTTTTAGATAAAAAACCTAAACAAAACAAAATCAAAACAACTGCAAAAGAAAATGAAACAAAACAACAACAAAAACAAACAAAAAGCACAAAACCAAACCAAAACCAAACCTTATCCTTCTGAGGATCTTCAAATCAGATTTAGCTAAAACTTTCACCAACCTTATATCTTAAAATCAATTTTATACACCATCCTTTTTCAGTTTTATAACATAATATAATTATTATTATATAATAATTGCTGTTAATATTATTCATCGTCTGTTTTATTACGTCTTATATTGATTTTTCTGTACTGCTGGTTCGTCTGGTCAGAGGAGAACTGGCCCCCCGACTGAGCCTGGTTTCTCCCAAGGTTTTTTCTCCATTCTGTCACCGATGGAGTTTTGGTTCCTTGCCGCTGTCGCCTCTGGCTTGCTTAGTTGGGGACACTTCATTTCCAGCGATATCGTTGACATGATTGCAAAGATATTATTTAAACTGAGCTGAGCTGGATGTTGACATCACTGAATTCAATGATGAACTGTCTTTAACTGAAAAATTAGTGTTTACTATTGTCATTTTGCATTATTGACACTAATTAATGCTGTTCAGTTGCTTTGTCACAATCTGTATTGTTAAAAGCGCTATATAAATAAAGGTGACTTGACTTGACTTGACCTTGTCTCCAAATAATAGCCAAATTAGAAAGAATATGCACAAATATGTAATATTTCATATTCATTACTACAAATCAGCAAGTTTGTCTAAACAGGTTTATAAAACCGGACAATGGAGATGAATCTTCAAGATTTCCATGCAACTGCTGGACCCCCCAAAAAAAAAGGTTTCATCTAAATTAGGTGATGTCAGGTGAGGGACGTGCAAATGATAACACTTCCAGGCTCCATCTAACAATATTTATGCACACAAATCCAAACATCAGACACAACAATGCCATCTAAACCTGGAAAAGGGTATTGGGTTTTGTTTAAACTCGTGTAAGACAGACTGCTTTGTTTACATGAACACATGTGTGTATTTATGTGTGCGTGGGTTTATAGCAATACTTTGAGGAAACATTGCTGTGAAAATGTCCACAGAAGTTAGCTAAGTCTAACAAAATCATTCTTTCGATTGTCATCGAAAAGAAAAATAGTTCAAAAGTCAGTTATATATATATATATATATAAAATCAGTCGAGTTGAGTTTCTATTATTGCTGGTCTTTAGTAATTATAGTTAGATTTATTAAAACAACAACAATGTCTAAGGTTTATTTAGATAGCTAGGTAAATATACACTTTTGTGAATGCTCGTACACATGTGTGTTTGTATATGAGAGGCGCATGCAGTCATGCATTAACTGAGGATGTTTTTTTTATTGCATATGCTGAGCATGGGCTCTTGGATGGCACAGCAAGGTGAGTTTGCGTGTTTGGCCGGCAGCCAGTTCACAGCCCAGCTGGATATCACTGAACTGCTCTTGCAACCTCCCTACAGCCCAGCATGTCACTTCGGGATTGTTTCCGTGGTACAAAGTTTGTTCAACCTCTCTCTCTCTCTATACTGGTTAGGGCTGCTCTGATTTCATCAGTGTGCCACACAGGTTATTGCTCTGACAGCGGCGCAATCCCTAATGAACAGCTTGATATGGGGGAAGGAATGTTTTATTGACCAAAACAGTTTTTAGTCTCAATTAATTCTGCTGTCAAAACAAATGAAGAGCAACCAAAAGCCTGAACCTCCAGTCTAGACCCCTGTGGATACATAGTTTAACTGGGCTACCTGTGTATGGAATATTATATATACACACACACTTATACATACAGTGCATACGTACAATTTGGATATTTTGGGTACGTTTAAAAAAAAAAATTTAATCAATAATTTTATTCGGCAGAGACAAATTAAGTTGGTAAAATTAAGCTTAAAAAATGACAGTTAGAAAATACTTTTCTTTCAAGTTTTTTTTTTATTATTATTTTATTATTAAAAATATTAAGCAGAACAACTATTAACATTGATGATAAGACATATTTCTTAAGCACCAAATCAGCATATTAGAAAGATTTCTGATGGATAATGTGACAAAGGCATTCAGCAAATAAATTAAGAATAAATATTCAAGAATAAACGACATACACTAATAAATGACAAAATATATTAAACTGAAAAACTGAAAACAGTTCTTTTAAATTAAAAAACCTTAAACGCTAATGTGTGTTAATTATATTAACTGTGTTGTATTCTAAGTAGTGCTGTCAAACGATTAATTGCGATTAATCACATCCAAAATAAAAGTTTTGTTTACATAATATATGTGCGTGTACTGTGTATATTTATTATGTATACATAGACACACATCTACAGCATATATTTTGAAAAATATTTACATGTATATATTTATATTCATAAAGTGTATATTATATATAAATATTTAATATATAAATGTAACATATTTTTCTTAAATATATACATGTGTGTGTATTTATATATACATAATAAATATACACAGTACATACACATATACTATGTAAACAAACTTTTATTTTGGATGCGATTAATCACGATTAATCGTTTGACAGCACTAATTATAAGTAACTATGCAATCATTTTTTGTTATTGATAATACAATATAATATACCGTATTGACCCGAATATAAGACGATGTTTTTTTCTTGGAAATGCATCTGAAAAAACGTTTTATATTCATGTTCTAGACTTTGACATGCCAATAATACACCCACAACAATAGGTGGGCGCCAAATATGCATAAAACAAGTGTGCCATGAAATACGTAATGTAATGCGTGTTGTCAAGATCATGAGTAAAAACAAAAGAAAAAGAAAACCTTACAGCTGCAAGAGTCGTGACTGTCCCGTTAGCCTGATGGGACCAAACTCCCTTTGTGATTTTAAAACGTAAGACAGTACCCAGATTTGAAGACTACAGTAAGATTTAACTTTTACTGTTAATAAGATTTTGGTAGGCTACTATTAGATGGATAGCCTAAATGTCCTAATTCAGATGGGCTACCTGTTTTTTTTAATTTTTATGGTATATCAAAAAGTGTATTTTTTTTTATGTGATTGTTGGTACATTTTACCATACTTTCAAAACAAAAATTAAAATAGGAAAAATATGCAATATAAAAATAATTGAAGACAAAATGTGTTCTACTGAGAAAAAACAAGATTTGGTTTTTAAAAAGCCTTTTCCCAAAAGGTACATCTGGAAAAAGGGGGGTCGTCTTATAATCAAGGTCGTCTTATATTCAGGCCAATACGGTATATAATAGAGAGTTGTGAGAAAACTATATTATAGCTTAAGTGTGTAATTAATTTCTGTTTTCCATTAGCGTCACCAAACAAGAAAAAAATATTGTTTTCAAAACATAACCAAAAAACAAACAAAAACAAAACAAGATAGTCCCACCTCAAACTCAAGCCATTGGCTAAGCTGATGTCAAGGTGTCAGGATGTTCAAAAAACACAGCAAATGTTTTGAAACGTCCCTAAGAGAGGTCAAATATTTTAAGATGCCATACAGCTTTCAAGCCAAGAAAAAGGCAAAATCCAGTGTCTAGTGTACAACATTTTATAGTGTTAATATAATTGCTGGCTAAACTGGTTTAATTACGCCCCACACCCCTTTAGCTTCAAGCAAAATTATATTCTCTATGTGAAATGTGAAAAAACTTCCACCCTGTGAAAGGAGGGAGAATCAGGAGGTTAAACGAAAGATCACAGAGGAATAAGTGAGGAAAAATAGCAAGAGCACAGGGGAAAGTGTAGCCGTGTCAAGCTCTATCAATTTCTAGTAGCTTAATCTTATGTAAAGGTGGGCAAGCTTGACATTCCACTTAGCATGTGACGCTAGCGTTAGCATGTGACGGCCAGTGCTTGCTGAGACCAGGGCTGAAAACCCCTGTAAGGATCAGAGCTCCACAAATCCTCCAACGTAAACTCCACCGTGCTACAGCAGTCAAGTCAAACATACTCCATTTGTGGGCTTACAGTGCAGACTAACGCTCATTTTCATCATTAAGTCAGTTGGTTATGAACTCATGACCAGTCTTGTTAATAATATCAAGAGCAAAGTATTTCAGTGCCAGAGGTTAATGCCGTGTGTGAGAGATTTAACTGTGTTACCTGGTCTCTCTTTGCCTGTTCCTTTGCTTTCTGCCAGTTTCTGTATGAGGCTCTCAACGGAAGTGTTCTCCATGTTTTTCACAAACTCTTCTTGGACCTTACAAATAATAAAACATTATATGCACTCATTCAGTATGTTCATGCGACAACACAGCAGAGAGTATATAATAAAAGTACATTTGTATGTTAATGCAGTAGACATATAATGGGCATTAAAAGATGAAAAGCATCAATTATCTTTTTTTGGTTCCATAAAAACATATTTTAGATTTATTTGGTTTATGTTATGTTACCCTTTAAAGTACCATATGACACATTTGGTTTAGTTAAAATTAACATGTTAAAAAGTAACATGTTTATTCATACATTTTATGATAAATTAACTTAATTTAGAAAAATGTACTATTACATGTAAAATTAACATTAAACTATGTTAACAAATCAAACCTTATGCTGACAACAAAACAAAGATTGACATCAGTAGGAAGATTAAAAGGGTTTCTACCACAGACTGTATGTATGAATATTCCTTGTCTAATTGTACCAAAGGGGCCCAGTAAGCTCTTAAAAAGCCAGGAAAGACTAAGTGACACTGACTGTACAACTTTACCAAGACTTTGTTCAGAATTGGCAGCATTTGGGTCTGAACTCACTTGACCAGGCAAAATAGGTCACAGACTGCTCACTCTTCAGAGCAGACTTTATGTCATTTGATAGTACGGTCATAACATGAAGGGAATGCTAAATAATGAGATATTTATGTTGCACATCATACGAGCAAGCTCCAAAGATTTTAAATGTGAACATCTTTCTGACACACACTCCTACGTCATCGACTGCTGTGCTCCTATTCTTCAATGCACAGCAGTTGTAGCAGTGTGTGAAAAAATACATATACACAAATACAGTACCATTCAAAAGTTCCAGAAGATTCAGTAAGAATTTTTTGGAAATAAATGAATTATTTTACTCAGTAGGAATGCATTAATTCATGATCAAAAGTGACACTGAATTAAAATCTGGTCATATGGTCATCAGCGCTACAGTATGTGTTATGATCACTGCCTTCACTCTGAGCGTTTCACCACATTACCAGCACTAGAGCTGTATACCATGCAAACAAGATTGAGGTTTTGGAAAAGGATAGGGTTGAGAGCTAGGGCACGCAATGAGGATGTGACTAGTGACATTATTTCCCCGGGTGATCACTTTGACTGTCTTTGTTTTTATAGGCCTCAAGGTATGGTGACAAATGCAATATGTCTGCCACACATCTCCACTGCAGACGCAATGCTTAGCTTTCATAGCTGATGTGTATTTACACAGCACTTCATAACGTGTTTGTCAGTTTGATTCAGTATCCATGTCCTTTTTGCCTGTTTGTAGATATGACATGTAAAGCTGTGTAAAAAAATCTTCAATAACATTTTTTGAAGCCATGACCCAAACCAACCAGCTCTGAAACAGGGTTATAATAGTTTATAACTAAAACCATAAAAAAACATATTTATTATTTGAAACAAAGTAAATGTTAACTGAAATTAAATGTACTATTTTCATTTAGTTTAACTTGATGTACTAAAATAACGAAATAGACATTTTTAAAAAACTAATAACTAACACTTTAAAACTAAAATAATGGAAAATATAAAAAATGAAAACATTTTTTTCACAAAATATTAATAAAATCTACAATGGATGATTTACTTCACTAAAAAAAGACAAGTGTAAGTGTCCAAATGTCTTTT